TCATATTGGGGCTCCAGCCGATGGCGTAATGGTTATGTTGTAGACTCCCACTTAGTCAACTGCGGTTTGAGACCCAGACCCAGTGACTTAAAACTCTCGCTGGCAGTGTGTGCATACATGCCTAAGACCCCAAGAGGAGAATGAAGGAGAAGGGATTGAGGCGTGGCCATCCTCCTGGGGGGTGATTTCTCGCTTTCTGTCTTTGTGTTTCTCTGGTGAGCACTCGTGGCCTCTAGCAAAAATCTCTCTCAAAAAAAAGAAAAAAATTCATATTAGGACCAGTGTATGGCATAGTCATATGTCGCTGGACTGCAGTTTGAGTCCTGGACCTGGTAGCTTCAAAATCACTCCAGGAACGTGTGTGCAATCCCAGGAGGAGAGTGGAGAAGAGGTTGTAGCATGGCCTTCCCCCTGGGGGGTGATTTCCCACTTTTCCTCTCACTGCCTGTATCTCTCCCAATGGCGAATTCATGCGCTCTAGGCAAAAATAATAAATAAATTAACAAACAAATAAATACAGTCATAAGTATTTTGTGATTAAATTATGGGACACGAGGTTAAAATGACAGAAATATTTGGAGAAGAGGAAGCACTATATCCTGTGATAGGAAGGAAAGTGTTTGTGGACATAATTGAAAGACATCCTCATGGGACAAGGCAAAGTAGCAGTGACTGTATAGGCAAATATAAAAATACCCAGAATGGCATATATTGCAGCAATAAGCCTGTTTTGACTGGATGGTAGGAGTGTATTAAAAAATATGGTCTGGTCACTACCAGGCATAGAGTTCATAATCTAGCTGGGTAGGGGAGATTAGTCATTTTAAGAGTTATGAACATGGAACTAGCAGTTGGCGTAACGGCTATGTTACTGGACTCCCATGTAGTCTCCAAGTGGAGAATGGAGGAGAAGGGATTATGGTGTGGCCATCCCCCTGGGGGGTGATTTATCGCTTTCTATCTCTCTGTCTCTCTCTGTCTTTCTGACGAGCACATGCACCCTATAGCAAAAACCTCTCTCTCTCAAAAAAAAAAAAGAGTTATGAACACAGTGAAGGGAGAACTATAGGTTGTGTGGTAGAACATGGAGGTGTTATCTGAAGTAGTTTGTAAAGTGAGAGAGAAAGCTTTTTGGAGATAGTAATACATGAATTGAAATCTAAATAATGAGTAGGAGAAACCCAGATAAAGAAAGGTATTGAAAAATATCCTGGCCTAGAGAGGAAACATATTTAAAGGCTTAAACTTGCTGAATCATAGCTAGAGACGTGTGGGCTGAGACCAGTTCCGAAGGGAAGGTATAACTAGCAGAAAGGTTGTGTGGCCAAAGTGTTATTTTAGGGGAAGAAATCTGACCCAAGTCTCATTTTTGCCTGGAGACCAAAGAATTACTAATCTTCAAGGTTATTAAGAATGGAGGATTTCTTTTCCATCTTCTGGCTTTATTTTCTTTGCTATAAAGTACATTTTTAGTATCTTAAGTCTTTACTGTGCTTTAAGATTTCCTTGTGAATTTTATTTGTTTTGTTACTTAGTTTTTATTTTATAATCATAAACTTAACTTTGTAATTCAGCTAGATTTGGAGGGAAATAAGGAAAATATGGAACCCAAAGAACAGCAAGAGCACAGGTTACAGGACGTAGTGAACAGATGGGGTGGAGGGTGCTCTCCTGAGCTACAGAGGGAATGGTTTGGCAGCTAAGAGAAAGCAAGTCAAAATGATTAGAGTCGTCCACAGTCAGCAGTGGTGATCTTCTTGCTGGCCTTGCCATTCTTGGACCCAAAGCACTCCCTGGCTTCCATGATATTCATGCCTTCTTTCACCTTACACATGCTTGCCATCCAACCACTCAGTCTTGGCAGTGCACATGAAAAACTGGGATCTGTTTGTGTTGGGTCCTGCATTTGCCGTGGATAAGATGCCAGGACCTGTAGGTTTCAGGATGAAGTTCTCATCCTTGAATTTCTCACCATAGGTGGACTTGCCGTCAGTACCATTATGGTGTGTGAATTCGCCGCCCTGGCACAAAAGCCCTGGAATAATTCTGCGAAGCCGGAAACCCTTATAACCACATCCTTTCTCTCGGGTGTGCAAAGCACTAAAGTTTTCTGCTGTCTTGGAACTTTGTCTCCAAACAGCGCTAAGGAAACGTAGCCCAAAGTCTCACTGTCAACAGCGATGTCAAAGAACACGGTGTGGTTGACCATGGTTGAGGGTGAGAGACTCGGGTGGTCATCTGTAAAGCTGGGAATTTTATTTCTAAGTTAATTAATTGATTTCAGATAAAAACTCATGTTCATTTATAGAAATAGAAAGGGATAAGCAGAAGTAACAGATATTGGGATATTTGACCAGCCAATGGTATAGTGGTTAAGGTGGCTAGATCCCACATGGCCGACCATGTGGTTCAAGTCCTGAACTCAGCAGCTTGAAAAAGATGCTGGGCATGTGTTCAGGTGCGCCTAAAATCCTGAAAGGAGAAGGGGAAAAGGGATTGCTGAGAGGCCATCTTTACACCTGGGACAGTGGGGGGAGTACATGCTCATTTCACTCTTTACTATAGTCTCTGGCTAATGCATGTACCCTCTAGCA